AAAGTACGTTCGCGTACGGTTAGATCGTTATCTCGAATCCATTTTCGTAGCGATCCTATTACAGGAACGGATCGTATTCGAAATGTATTAAGGAGAAACGAAAGTTCACTAACTTTTACCACCTTTGACTCTCTCTGGGATAGATCACGTATGGTAGATAGTTATCGATTTCTCAGTTAAAATCTTTATATATACGGATCTGTCGTATAATGACAATTCTCTTGAAACTTTGATCAACGATCCACTTCGATCTTGATCGATTTCGATAAAAAGAAAATGAAGCGCGCGACAATGACTCGAGCATTCTATATGAAACATTAACATATTATATTACCCGCCGAACATTTCGACCGTATGATTACTATGAAAGTACGTCTTTTATTACCTGTCGATTAAGAAACCGCAGGTGGAAATGATTTGCAAGTTTGCTAACGTCCTCTTTGAGACATTGTAACTCGGCGCAATTTACGCGCTTATTCGCGATAACTGTGAGGTGCCAACTTGTGGACAGTGAAATCGACAAGTCACCATCGTGGTTCCTAAGAAGATTTTTGCTTCTTTTATTGTAATCGAATGTGCTCGAATGTAATGAGTCTTCGTAATTTTAGTCGATGTAATGATCGTTTAAAGATCACATGGAATCGGTGATAATAAACTAATTACGACTTAAATAATCGCCTATAAAAATATTCGAATGTATAAATGAATGAATACAAGTATAAATATAAATATTTCTTTATTATACAAATGCGTATGAACATATCTATATAAAACGTGTGTGCGTACGTGTATATATATATATATATATATATATATATATATATATATATATCTTACAACTTATGTTCGAGGATTACCAAATGAAGTTAGTTACGAGGAACCGTAAAATATCGAATATTGACTGATTCGATCGATTGATTGGTCGATTGATCCATCGGCAAAGTGGTTTTTAATTACATCGAGTAAAGTTATTAAACGTTTTGACCGATCGTATCAGTTCGTTGCGGCATTTGGTTCAATCTCCGATTCCCATATCGCGTTGTTCGTTTAATCGATGGAAGGGACGGTCGGTTAAATGGTCACTAACGTGGCCATTGTTCTGCCGTGTTATATGTTGTCGGGTGTGTTTCGATGTTTCTACCGAGATACGAGAGTTGATAGAAATGTATCGTTCAACGGATATAAAACGGAGGAAAGTCTTTTAAGAATCGAAAGACAAGGTGGATATATAAGCATGGAATCTTAATCAAAAGGAGAGAGGAAAAACCGAGGTCTTATGTGGACCGCGGTCTGTATCAAGCGTGGACCAACAAATAAGGTTTTCTTCTTAGAAACTCTTGTCATTATTGTTCAACGTCGCGTCGTAGTTTCGACGAGTATCCATAAATTCACTTTGGCTACGAAGGAAATCTTGATATGGTATTTTGTCGATTGATGAATCGCTTTTCTTTATCGTATTCCGTTTTCTACGAGCAACGTAAGTAGATATGTATATGTAAGTTAAAGATCAAGATTTTTGATCTGAATCGAAAGATTAAAGATTTGAATCGATCTTTCGATAGTTCGTGAACGTTCATCAATATTTTCTAATTTTATGCTGTTTTCTATTAATTTTTGACGAATTGAAATTGAAGTTTCCAAAATGTTTTGTCGATATTATTTTCTAATAGAACTCAAAAAACGACGACGTTCTTGGAAAATTGTTTCTTAAGGTACGCCTCAATTGAGACCAGGGCCAACAAAAATTTGAAACTTTATCAAAATTATAGACTGTCGTTTCTAACGATGGATCATTTCTCTTGGAGCCATTAAAACGCTGTACTTTCACAGCAATAGAAAAAAAGAAGAGTATTGCTAATTAACTTGCCGCGGTGAAGTCAGTGCTCCTATTTGACGAGTCGCGTTAGTTATAAATCGATATAACCATGCCAGTTGTCGACTAATGAGATGAAACGTGATCGCCTTTCTCTCGTTAAACGCACTGCGTAAAATAAAATCGCCTCCTCTCTGGTATGCTATACCTTAACGTCTCTCGCGTTACGCTGATTCTGATAAATGGAGTTATCCGGTTGAACGTTCGAATTAATCGTTCAAATCGGAATGCTTCACGCTTGTCTCCGGCGAACGAATTTTTATGAAATTATTTCTAGAACGAACGAACGCGATAAAATCCTGTTTTAAATTTCATTCAGGTGACTTCTCCAGCATTTTTCACAAGAGTTATACAAATATTTTAATATAAGCATCGCGGACAATATATACGTGTAACTATCTATGTATGTATTCGTTTTATATATTGTATAAACGATATAAAAGGGCAATTAATCACAAAGTAGAATGAGGCAAGGAAAATCCCTCTTTAACAATTACTCAACTAGTAGCTTTGTTTGCCTTTTAACGTACTAATATTTAAAATACATACGGATGGAGAGGAGTAACGCGCGAAAAACGACGACAAAGGTAAATATTTTTACTGGTTAAATAGATTTTCCCGATTTGTTGTTAAATAATCCGATTAATTTGTATGATTTCTTTCGTACGTATTTTTCACGACGTCGGACCATTTTGTTACTAAAACTGAAAAGAAAAAAGTCCTTGACGAACGTTGAACTGAATTGTTTTTCATCTTATTCCATTTTCTAATTTTTCTTTTAGAGGAGAATTCAGTATGCTACACGTAAAGACGAGAATGCTACGAAATTTTGTGAATTCGAGGATCTCTAGCTAGGAACTCACGTCCTCAAGGCATATAAACGACGGGCTTCTTCCCGTTCGAGATACAATATTTCGCGATAGAGAGGGGTAGATACCAGGAAACTCAGGCTTTCAAGGATAAGGCTATTGGAATCTGTCGATCCACTCGGGTGATTATTGGTATTGTGGTCTTCTCGAGGAGCACGCTTGTTTTCTTTGTTCTCTCATCGCGCAGGGTGGAATCGAACAATTCGTATAATTCGTACATTCGTTCTCTCGTTCGAATCAATATAACATATATACATATACATATATATACACATATACATATATATACATATATGTATGTATGTATGTATGTATGTATGTATGTATGTATGTATGTATGTATGTATGTATGTATGTATGTATGTATGTATGTATGTATGTATGTATGTATGTATGTATGTATGTATGTATGTATGTATGTATGTATGTATGTATGTATGTATGTATGTATGTATGTATGTATGTATGTATGTATGTATGTATGTATGTATGTATGTATGTATGTATGTATGTATGTATGTATGTATGTATGTATGTATGTATGTATGTATGTATGTATGTATGTATGTATGTATGTATGTATGTATGTATGTATGTATGTATGTATGTATGTATGTATGTATGTATGTATGTATGTATGTATGTATGTATGTATGTATGTATGTATGTATGTATGTATGTATGTATGTATGTATGTATGTATGTATGTATGTATGTATGTATGTATGTATATATGTATGTATGTATGTATGTATGTATGTATGTATGCGATAGTATATATTTTAAATTCTTTGTTACGATAATGAACGTGCTTCATGAACGATGAGATCGATAAAGTGAGATTTTTACGGAATGACTTTTGATTTATCGAAACGATATCTATCTATTTTAATATAACGTTCTGTGTAATGAGTGATTTCCGAAAGAAGATAACAGGAAAGTATTTAGATTCTTTCGTTTAGATTTACTTTCGGCATCGTCTAAGACATCGCAGTGTTTAGCATATTTGCATCAAAGCAAACGTTCATGGCATCCTACCCGAGGAAATGCCGAAGGTCAGTCAAAAATTTAATAAGTAAATTACTTGAGCGAGGGGAGAAAACGTTCCTTTGCAAAAAGGGGTTTATTTTGTTCGTTGATTCGTTTTCAATTTTATCTGCAAACCTCGTTTGTCGTCTTTTCACATGATCTAATGTCTTAAGAAATGTTTTCGTGAAAATTTCAAAGTTAAACTTTAATTGTAGGTAAGTAATACTTATACATAATTCGTAATAATACATAAGTAATACATAAAACATATATTTATTACTTTCACCAGATGATAATTGAATTAATTAACGAAACGACACGTTTCTCGTCTTATCATTTAAAATTAATGTCCAAAGAAGATATTGAGAGCGTAATACGGCAAATTTCTGAACTATGATAAACTATGCAAGATGTTGGCGAGTATAGTTTCCAAGTGGAGCTTAAGACCGCGTGTCCCTGGAATACTTACCTGTCTTGGATTCTAGGAAATTCTAAGTCACATGTCGACATACGCAAGCACGAAGCTCTCGCGTCTGCTAACATTCTCCTTGCTAACGATACAAAACTTTAAACAACGTACTCTGTGTAAAAATCATTATTATTTTATTTTTCCTTTTCTATTCGTCTATCTATCTTTCTTGCCTTTCGTTTGGATTATTTTACAAATATTTTTTACGAATGAATTTCATAAAAATCCGAATAAAACTCCAATCGAACGAATTCACGAAAAGCTCTCGTCTTTAAAGATTGGACACAAAGGGGAAGATTTGGGGTACGTGGTTTGAGATAATCAATAACTCGGTTATAAACTTCGAAGGGTGAACGAGTCTTGATGCATTACCAGTTTGATACTAGTTCTTTCGTGGTCTCAGATTTTAGATATTATAATAAATAGGTATTTTTTTGTATTTTAGTGAAAATACTTTCGTTTAAAAAAAAAATAAAGACAAGAACGAAGAATCTATCAACATCTATAAAACTCAACGATTCGAAACTACATATGGTCTAAGGCAGATGCCTTGGAAACGTTCCTTTTCATTCAGTCACCTCTTGGAAGTGTGCGAAAAATGGTTTGATGCGTTTGAAAACGTATTTTTCGATAATGCGTCTCATATTTCTTCGAACTTTCTTTTTTGCATTTTCGTCACATGACACCCGACCGCCCAAAAACGTAATCCATGTAGAAACGAACATGTCATTCGATGTAATTAGGGTGGTGTTTTCATAAAGACTTGGAGGGGAATAAGGTGGACCACAAAATACTATTGCTATCCTGGTTATTAGGGAGGGAAGGAGAAGCTAAGGCTAACCTTCGTTCTACAGTTCGATGGCGTAACATTATCGTAATGCGATCCGAGTTTGCATCAGTCAGTCTGCTTGCAAACTTAGTTTGAAAGAAACGAATGGGGACTCATTGTATCGTTTAGTTCGACTAGTTATTTTATCTTAATAGAATAAAAAAACTTACGTTCTTTTCTAAGATCATTTCGTGGATCTATAAGTATCCCGTTGATTCAACGTGTTTCTATTATTTTTTTTACAATAATATATAAATAAAAAGATAAATATGTATCAATCATCTTGTAAGTAGCAGCATAAGAAACGTTACAAACGTTTTAACTATAAACGTTTCACACGGCGTTACATCGAGTTGTACGATGTAAGATAAAGAAAAATATTTTAGTCGCTTAAGTTTCAATTCTTCTCTTGATCTCGAGTGTTTAATTGAAGATGATAAGCGATCTAACTCACGATCGAATGTCTGTACCGATTTAATAGCGATTGAAGTATTGAAACAAAGGAGATACGTTTTTCAATCGAGGAACGTTCAGAGAAGTAAAGGTTCGCGGGACTATGAGACAGAAGGATCACGTGAAAGATCACGTTCGTTTCGAAGTCATCCCTTGCAATCATCGATGTCACGGTGCGATTAAGATCCATCGCGATAAAAGTCGCGATCGTTCGTCGACAGTAAACTGTTATTACGTGTCCCATTGAAAAATACTACGAAGAAGGAGGAGAGAATGTTTTTGTCTTGATAAAACGAAATAAAAAATAACATAATGTGCGTACACGTGATTTGTGATTTCTTATTCGGCGAACGGAAGGTGAATTTTCTATTGATAATAATCAACGGATGATTGTGGACTTGAAAATCGTACGTATCTCCGTTGATTTCGAGTAGTTTAATCGAAACGGACAGCGAACGCTTTAATATTACGCGCTATTCGTTGCGCGCATTATATATCACGAACTAAAGCATAAGTCTGCTTACGTGTGAACAATTAGCTTTTTAGAAGATAACGAAAGCTGTACACTCGATAAAGAAATTACCGTTGATACCTATTATTATCAATTGGGCTTTACATTTAAAATAACTCACTAGAAAAGTGATTAGAAAATGACCCGTTGTTATTTGAGTTGTGTGTTGCGTGTTGACAACTGGACGAATAAATATTTACATAAATACGTACGTAACTATGCTTTTGATTAACTGTATATTTACAAATTTGGATACTCTTTATGTTATATACATGTTTACACACTACACTATTTATGCGATTAACAGTTCATGTAGATATAATAAATTTGTTAAAGAAGATAAACGTGTTCAAGTTCACGTTTATTCAAGAGAATCTCTGATCATTCAAAAATTAAAAAATAGATTAAAAAACGAAATAAAGGAAAAGGAAAGAAGGGTAAAGAAAGAAAAGTGTATCGAATTCTTACCACATGGATGCCTTCGGTGTCTCTTCTGAGATCACCACTCCTCTGGCCTGCCGTAACGGCCGCGCTCAGGTGATTATAGTGATGCTGATGAAGCGTGTTCAGTGTCTGCGTATAGGGATCACCGACGAGGTAATCCAGGTGTTGAGGCTGCCCAAGACCCGGATGTTGTGGGCTGGCGGGTGCATGATGATGCGACGGGAACGGCGGTGGAAAGTACGGGGGTTGAAAATCCGACGCTGTTGGCAAAGATGCACCACCGTGATGTGGCATTCCGCCTCCATTTCCATTCCCTCGATGACCGTGATGATGAGCACCCGAGTAAGGCGACGAGTTTCCGCCGCCCAGCGAGGAAATGCCTCCATGACCAGTCAATCGGTCCTGTGGACATAACATATGCACGTTTTATCTATTTGTCCTTTTTACTTTAAGTAAATCACTAATCGATGTTAGCCGTGAATATGCGATTTATTAATTATAATGGAGTTTACTAAAGTGGTCATTCTATTTAAAGACATTTCGAGATTAGATAATTAATCGAGGACTTTTGGAATTCTTTATAGGTTCGTTAATTAAATAATAAGAAATATATATAATTTAGATAATGCTTTCAATAAATTGATATAAAATTAATCGCATGAATCTTTTGGAAGGTATACTAGTCAATAGTACTTTTTTCCTAACTTTCCTTTTTACTTTTTATTTTATCAAGTTAATTTCTTTGGCTTTTGAGAGTCTTCATAAATATTTTGTATGTATTTTATCACTTCAGTTATTCCTATCCGAAAACTTGAAGAATAATTTCAAAATGATTTTTAACAAATACGAGGCGATGATCGATAGTTTGACCGAGTTAGAAGAGTATCAAAATGAATTGGTTTCCGAATAGTAGCGAACGACTGGCTTATAAATCTTCGATTTGTCCAAGACATTGACACTCTTGTTGGATGCAACAAACGTGCGATGAAATAATACCAATCTCTTTCGATCTTGACGATCGTGGAGTATTATTCACAGTGGAGATAATATCGTACTTCTCGTATCTATAAATCGGGGGAAAGGCTTTTGCTTCGGCGAGGAATATTCAAGCCATTAGGTGTCTTTCTCTTTCTCTTCCATGCGATACCATCTCGAATGTCTTTATAAACCGAGTCGGTGTAAGGGCTAAACTGACAACTTTTATCTATGCTGACTTTTATCGTCTCTTGTTCCTCTAACTGTTTCTAAAATGCTCGAACACATTTGAACGCTTCGGTATTTCGTGAGAATTGAATGACACGAGTAATTTGTAAGATTCGACTAATTTCTCGTAGATCTTTCATAGATTATATATCCGAACTCGTCTTGATTTTTTGTCGAGCAAGATATTCTCGATTGATATTCCATAGAAATAAACGATCTCGACGACGTGACGTAACGTACTGAAAGAACTTTACGAGACTCTTAAAACAGCTATCTCCGGAAGGGATAATTTCTCTCCTTTCGGCGCTGCTTTATGACCGTGGAACCTGTTCGCGGGAATTCTTTTTCCTACGGGAGCGGCCTTTACCGAGCAACAAAATTTGCCATGCTCTTCCAAGACGATCAACGGAGTCAATGATCTTCCGAATATACTTCTCTCAATTGCCGGTTCTTAAGATAAAAAAAAAAAGAAAGAAAATTTCAACGTGGTAAATATTGCGTTCTCTAGATTATCTTTTATGAATCAAAGAGACATTAAATCATTGCAGTTCTTTTCTGGATATTAAAAGACACATTAAGAAATTTCGAAGCATTTACGGAAAGTCCGAAACGTCTAGATAAGAATCAAAGAGTATGAAACGTTTCTCGTCATGATTAAATTCGATATCTACTAATGGCTATTTAAATGCGTCGTTTCAAAATTAAATGAGAGATTCGTTAAAAGAGGAAACTTCATTTTTTTTTAACAATAACCACATCGACCTTCGTTTTTAATGAACGAAGAAAAATTGTATTGCCTATTTATTATTATTATTATTATTATCGTCATTGCTAGTATTATTAGAAAGGATGTTGTATATTCGTTTAATCGAACGAATCTTCGAAGATCTCAAATATTTTTTCTATTTTTTTTTTTTCGTTCGAATTGAAGAGAATTCACTGCATATTTAAAATAACCGATAGTTACAAAGATCTTTACGAGTACATACATATTTTGCTAGAATTTAATAGCTTTTAAATAAACACGTTTTATAGCGGTACTAACGTGTAACGATTCTTTAACGAGTACTGCTCATGGCGCGACATCAGAAACGAAGAACTGTTGTATATTTAACAAAAACAGTAACAACGTTACGCACATACACAAATTATAACAAAGAAAAAAATTATATATAATTACGGTCAGTCAGTTTTATTGAACTTTTTTTTGGTTTATCGATATTCTTAATTCGACAATATCAATTACGATAAGTTTTTATTTGATCATAAATTTAAAAATTAGAAGGTTTCACAAGGAGTTAATCGGCATATAAACACAATTAAACTAAATTTGAATATTTCAATGTGTTTGGAAAGTATTTGTACGTTTAATCGATTAAAACCTGATCCAGGGAACGTTGGAATAGTTTTTCCTAGAAAATGTTTTTGTTTGTTTCGATAAATTAAATGAAAATTCGTTGACGAAACACCATAATGATTTCTCTTAAAATCGTTATTGCTTTTTTTCTGATCGAATTGAAATTTGATAAACATTTCTTAAAAATTTGAAAGATCGATTGTGGAATTAGAAAAGTATAGGAAATAAATGATAAAAGGTATGAGATCCCACCTCGACTTCGATGACCGTGGTCATGTCAACGTGTGGCGCGTAACAGAGCGCCAGCTTGTCGGCTGTTGGCGCTTCCGTGCGCGGCGGAAACATCCCTAGGATCTCCAGTTTGCGTTTTTCACGAAATCTTCCTCTCTCGATCCACCCAACTCCTTTTCATGTGAAATCACCTGATATAAAATGAGTTGAGTAGAGCGTACAACCACACTTTCTGATCTGAAGAGAACAAATACACTTTCAGATCTCTTATATATATCTCGCACTGATATCTTTCTCTATTTCTTTCTCTTATTCGTACACATCTCACAACACAAGATTCACGAGCGAGAACACAGCACCCCTCGTTCCATCACCTTTCTTCCTTGCTTCGTGCGAGATGCAAACAGAAGAGCCATTCGAGCACTCGGACGAATCAATTTTTACCGCGGGCCGCATTCGCGTATATCTACCTTGCTCGCATGTCTTGGGATTTTTTAACGATAGGATTAATTGATCTCAGTGATCATTGCATGAAGCTCTAATAAGGGAAAAAATAAAAAACAGGAGGAATGGTTTATCGTTTTCTCGATGAAAATATTAATCGATCGATCGACATCCTTTTATGTTTTTTCTCTTTCGTAGACGACAAAAGTTTATAGACTGGATGCTGTAGATTTTTAACTTAAGAGAAATAAAAAGGGGTTGCTCGCAAGTAGGTAGAATGGACTAATATCTCTCTCTTTTTCTCTCTTTCTTTCTTTATCTGTCCTTCTTTCTTTCTCGTTGAAAACGTAAAGGTGAAAGAAACAGCTGATCGGTTGCAATAGTACGGTGTGTCGCGATCGGCCGACTGAACGACGACGACGACGACGACAACGATGACGATGACGACGAAACCTTACGGGAGGTGCTACAGCGTGCTCTTACCGAGTGGTACTACCACCACCATTTCCACCACCACCATCATCACTAGTACTACCACCACCACGACCATTGCCACTACCAGCAAGCACCGACACCAGTTACCAACGATCTCTTGCTCTCATTCTCTCTCACTTTAGCAGTATACGAAGAGGCTCAGATAGACCGCGTAGTTTCAGCATGCGCCTAACTACTACTTCGAGGACCGAAATTTTGCCTGAGGATACGCTGTACACCACGTGGACGGCTTCTACTCTCAGAGTACCGGTGCTCCCACCATTTCGACGAACACCGACCGTCGGCCGTCCCAAACGAGAGCCAAGCGAATGAGAAGGAACGACTCGCGCGCTTTTGAACGACGTTTGCCGATTTCTCCCGACGGCTAGGAAGGAGAGATAGAAAGAAAGAGACGGAAACAAACAGACAGAGACTAAGAAAGAGATAGAGAGACAGACAGAGAGAGAAAGAGAAAGAGAGAAAGAGAGAAAGAGACAGATAGATATAGAGATAGAGACAGAGAGAGAAAGAGAGAGAGAGAGAGAGAGAGAGATTATGAGAGAGTAGACCTCTCTTTTTTTTTCATTGATCATTGAGGAATGAGTTTATTACAAGCAAACTTCCAATAACCTTTTCTCCATATTCCTAAATTATTTTTCTTATTATTTATTTAATATACGAATGTATTTAGATAATCGAGTTACTTAACATTAAAAGAATCATGCTTTTACGGAAACTGATATCGAGTTATTGAGGAATCAGTAAGTACTTATGCCGATCTCATTTGATTTTTTCTTATTGAGTTTGAAAATCTCCGTGGCAGTGACAAAGTGTTACAACATGTTTCCTGATCAAACCGTCGTTGCCGTCGGCTAAGATTTTTGATCGTTTCCTCATGTCTTTGTAGAGATAGGCGTGGTTTCCGTGATTGTGTCACTTGTCAACTGTTGTCGCAAGTGTAAGATTAAAATACAGAATATTTTACGATATTTAGGAGTGTAGTGAGTAAAAAATATTCTTAGATTGTTTTTTAATATACACTTTGAATTTTATTTAATATCTACATGAATCCAGAACAACTGACGATCAAAATTATTTATAATATCTGCTATAAAATAATCTTAAAAGACTTTGTAGACCTGCACTTAATAGAACTTTTTTGTTCTATTTTGAAATATCGAAGTGTACGTATAAATTTTCATTTTATCATTTTAAAAACAGTTTATTCATTCTACGTAAGACATACGATATGTGTAATAAAAGTTATCTATATATATAGGTGGAGAGAGATTAATCCTTGTTACAAAAGTGAGAAAGATCGTGAGATAGATTTTTCGCATGACGTATGAGCGGACAAATTCGTTTAATGTTCCTATTTGTACGATCTTTCTTGGTGTTGCAGCGGCTACTTCGTGACGCATCTGTAGATATGGATCTTCTGAGATTTTTCCTTCGAGCTCGCTCGAAGTATCATTGTACTTCGTAGCTTCGTTCTTTTATTGGCATTAAGTGAAAATATCTTGATTTGTGTTCAGATATGAAATAAGAAGATACATCGATTCAGAAAACAAGGGATCTTTGTCTTTCGAAATCGTATATTTTTCTTTTATCTAAGATATCTTTCCACTTGTTTTTATTATGTACTTTACGAGATTGCACATTGCTTATTGAATAAGAAAATATTCAATGAGAG